AGTTCTTTCATAGCCGCCCTCCCCATTCTTAATTTTCTCCTGATTATGCTATGTTGTCATTATTCCTGCAGAAATTGTGAAATGCATGGATGGCTGAATTTTGCAAAAGATAATTTTCCAAGTTTGCAAAAAGTGATTTTATTCAGTCCTCCTCAGAATATTTTTTTCTTCCCTTCCATCTTTCAGGTGTCCTTCTTCATCCTTCCATCCTCCAGATGGGTTGGTCATCCCAAGTCAGCACAGTGATGGTGAAATTACAATTCAATACATTTGGAAGGTGCCAGAATTGGGGGAAGTTGCTCTAAGGAATTTCAAATATGGCAACTGTTTTCAAGGAGAGAATCTCATGCCATACGTGAAAGCATTTTCTTCAGAGGATGAATTCCATGATGTTATGCTGCAGCTGGAAGGGTTCTTGAGTCAAGACTCCTTGAGCACTTTCCTCTGGGGATAACAGAGGATGAGGGAGAGAGAAGGCTCAAACTAACTCTGAAGTTGAACTATTCCCAAAACCCATGGAGAGAATTATCTGAAGCTGCAGGACATTTGAGTCCAGATGAAATGAACTGGAAGGTTCAGATAGACATCATGTGTAATCTATTATTAGCAGCTGAATGTTTGTGAGGGAATTTCCTAGCTACCACTGTAGATAAACATATTCTATTTCAGCAACCTGAAAACAGCCCATCATTTCATCTACGTTGTTCCTTACTTTCAAAATTACATTGATTCCTTCTTGCCTGATATCTCAGCAACCTGACTTTGGCAGGCTGCTCTGATTTCTCTTTTTTTCCCCACTCCTTGTTTTGACAGACTATCTGGTAGGACTTTACTCCATAACCCAACCTCAGCTTTCATTTTCACATCTCTTTTGCCTGCACGTTTGAAATACTACACTTTGCCTGAGTCCATTTATGAATCATGGCCCGACTTTGATTTCCTCTGTGGACATCCTCTTGACCCCAGTATACACCTTATCCCTGTTGAACACTTACAACCATAAGCCAGGATATAGGAGCAGAATTGTCTGACACATCTGACAAAACAAATACCAAAGTGGAAAGCAATAAAACATGCCAAGGCAGAAGGCTGTGAGGACCTCAAAAATAAGCAAGAAAACAGAAACTCTATCAATTTCCTCACATGTATTTATTACAGTTTAGACATTATTTTGTGTCACCAACTGAAGGATGCTTGGCCCTGAGGGTTTGACAAGCTAAAGGATTTGGCACTCAGAAGGACAAGTCAGGAAAATGTATCAAGCGGGTTCTAAGAAGATAAGGACAACATTTTTTGCCATTTTTGTACAGGCTCTTTCTCTTAGAAGCTAGCACATGGAAAGTATGCCATTTCTTATAGCAAATAGTGCTGTATAGACTGATTAAATTTAATGCCCCTTAGTTATTATTATTTTTTAAACCTCTTTGAGCTGGTTGTCCATCAACCCCATATTGCTTCTTGTATTGTACTGTGTTGTACTGCTTTAAATATTTTGTATATTGTCCTTCAGGACTATATAGCAGTCCCCTTGCAGTTTACACTCTAATGTCATCATTAAACAATTAAAAACAAAACTAACAACAATCCGTACTGAAGATAAACAAGCATCTTAAGAGCCCAGGGCAATGTCAAATTAATCACTTAACAGATGTGAAATGCTAGGTCTTTAAAAGCTACTTAAAATCATGCATTGAAAGTGTGAAATTGTTTCATTCCATTGTGATAGGTCACAACTGAAAAGGCCCCGTCACATGTGCCTGTCTGCTTGATGGATATTTCTAGTAGGCCTGTGACTAAGACCTCACAAGATTATTTGAACAGCAAGGAAGTCTCCTATAAGTGTAGAGGCTTCTTTCTTTCTTTCTTTCTTTCTTTCTTTCTTTCTTTCTTTCTTTCTTTCTTTCTTTTTTAAAAAAGTCCCAAGCCATTCATAGCTTTAATGGTACTAATCAATGCTTTCCATGGGTCTCAAAAATGCATTGGCAGTTAGTGCAATATTAGTGTTATACATACTGATCACATGCCCCTCACAAGAAATCAGGCAGCTTCATTCTGCATACCAGAAACTTCTGAATCATCTTTAAAGAGTGTGTTGTAGAAGTCTAGGTCTGAGGTGACTATACCATAAACTGTTGTGATATGGCCTGCTTTCTTCAGACAAGGCTGTAGCTAGCAAACCAGCCAAAGTTGAAGAAAGGCACTCCTGGCCACAGCCTAGGATTCCAAACAGATGCATTAACATGGCAGGAAAGAGTAAGGGCTATTCCATCAGCATCTTTCAATCTACTTATGTCTGTCCATCTATCTCATTACATTCCATGCATGACATTAGAGTTAGGGTGTTTACCATGTCTTAAGTTACATCATCTCCGAGTGCTGTCATGAGGCTAAAATAACTCTGTGAATTAACTTGAAATTATTTTTATGTGGAAAATATGTGCAATGACATCCTGGGAAATGGGTACACAGCTGCCACGAATAGATTTTGAAACAGTAAAACTCTGGGAGATGGCATCCAGATGGAGTTTGTTGGTGCTTGGCACACGTAGGACAGAAAAGACTTGTCTGTTGGTTTCATTAGTTTGTCCATTATAAAATGGATGTTGCAATGACAAATATGGGTGTGCACTTAACTCTTGTGCTCAGTTTGCTGCCTTGAGGAATCCCCTCTTTTTCCTTCCTTTGTTCCCTGCAACTTCAATTTTATAAGAAGGCAAACCAATGCAGTGAAAAAATTGTATCATTTGCTCTTCCAAGAACTCACACTCTTTTAACCCTGCATTCTGTAATCCCATGATGTGCCTTGTTTTTAATTATTCCTTTCCACCCTTTCACCCTGATTTAAAATAAAAAGGGGGGCATATTCATTGCAGAAGGCCTATCAGCTAGTGATGCTAGAAATATTATTTTTTCATATAATGTACAAGGAAGGCAAGGTGGATGGCTAATAGCCCTAGTTTCCTCACACACCAGCAGACAGCAACATTATTCCATTGCATCCTAACCCTATTATCCATCTGCCACTAGCTTTAAATAGGTGGGGTTTAAAAGTGCAATATTTGAAAGATAATGGGCAGTTCCTGTCCAATCAGCAGCTTCCCATTTCAGTGCATCAATAACCTCTTTCTTCCATTCATCTGTTGACTTATCCTTTGCACAACAATGCATGTGCCTATGCAGCATGTGAGTACTGAGCATGGAGGCAAGCAGGGCATGTGCCATGTATGTTCCTTTGCTCAAATTTTGAACTGTCAGAAAAGAAATGACTGGCATCTTAGGAAGTACTTCCTGGCTCCAGTAAAGATGAATGCTGACTATCATCATAAGACTAACAAATAAGTCTTCATACAAAAAATGATATACATAGCATTATGTATTATTTTTTACTATCTTTTAAACCACAAGATGGTGCTTAGAAGCAGAGAACCAATATGGTGAAGTGGTTTGAGTACTAGACTATTACTCTAGAGACCAGGGTTTAAATCCCTGCTTAGCTATGGAAACCTACAGTGTGACCTTTGGGCAAGTCATACTTTATCAGCCTTACAAGAAGGCAAAGGCAAACCCGCTCTGAACATAGCTTGCCAAGAAACCCCCATGAGGTTTGCCTTAAGGTTGCCATAAGTTGGAAAAGATCATCATCTGTGGTACAGTACTTCTGTGTGAGACACCACCACAACAATGGCAACAATAGCAACAACAGAAAGATGGTGGTGAACTTTCTCTGTGAGAGGAAGATTTTTTTACATCACATTAACTGTTGTAATAATAATAATAATAATAATAATAATAATAATAATAATATATTAACTTATAATAAGAAGCATATTTTTAATAGCTTATTTTCTGCTATAAATGTCAGTGTGTGTCTGCTTCTAAGGAGCTTGGTACTTAATCCTTTTTATTTATGGGAGAGGGGAAGAATGTTGAATAAAATAAAAAATGTAGCTTTCACAAATTTCCATAGAACATCAAATAGCATACAAAAGGCAACAATGGACACCTGAAGTAAGTTATGAATTCTGAATGTGACATGAGACTGGTTGGGTTTCCTACAGGGTCATTGCTTATTCTTTTTTAGAAAGGAGTTTTCAAAGATTAAAAACTCTTGGCCTAGTGACTCATATGGGAGAAAGGAATTGGTCAAAACCTTTGGCTGAAAAGACAGAAGAAAATCTGCTGGTGGTGGTGGTGCTGGTTCTAGAAGTTTTAGAAATTTCACTGCAGAATTAATAGATTAATACAACATTTTCCTTTTTTATTTTTGATATTCAGAGTTGTGTCTTTGTTCTTATTTTCTTTTATTCTTTTCCAATTGTTATTCTGCAAGATGGTGTTGAATCATTAACAGAACTGTGTTTTCTGATGTATTTGTCCACCTTGTGGTGACTCAGATTAGTATTAAGCATATCATTTAATAGCTCCTTATTTACCTGACTTGGTTAGATGAGCATTTCCACAACTGGTAACTGGTTTAGCAATGACTGTTTACTCACCATATGCTGATGCTGTCATTAACGTGTTACACCTCTGAAATATTAGCTCAGCAAATGTGCTTTGGGGATGGAGGGACAGCTGTGTTTTTCTATGGCATGTTTGTGCAAAATTCACTCTTGAATTATGTACCATAATTGTGTGTCTCTGCTTTCCTCCAGGCCCTCTAAGATTATAGGTTAGAGTGTTATTGTTTATTTGTTTGGGTTTTTTCTTCTTCTTCTTCTTTTGGTCTGAATCTGGTCTAAATACTGTTCTGGAAATCAATGGGACATCTCTATTATTGGAGAGATTGTTATAGAGAGTACCAGGAAGAGTCTCCCAAATAGGTGTTCCTCCCAGGAATAATCAGATTCTAGTGATCAATGAAACCAAAGGGGCTAACAAAAGTGTATTCCCAATTCATTTATCAAAGATCCAGAAAGAAAATTGTGTACTGCAAAGATAAGTAATTGGTAGGTCTGGGGACATAACCTCCAACATTTCATAGATGAAAAGCAGGACATGTATGGTCAAGCAACATCTGAGTGTGGTCAAGATGCCATGTATGAGGAAGAACAAAGAATCTAGGAGCGTCTGCAGGAGCTTGAGTCTACTGGGGGAACACCTATTTGGGAGGACTCTTCACCCCTCATCCCTCATCCTCCCCAAATGAATGGAATGCAGACTACTTTTACATGTTTAACTCGGTTTGCAGCAACTGAAGAAAGCTAAGGACAAAGGGGGAAATGGGAGGAGGAGAGAGAAACAGCACCATAATAAAAGCAGCTGAAAAAGTGGGAGAAATGAGGATTAAATGGGACTGTCTCCGATAAACTGGGACAGTAGGAGCATATATAGGGATCACTCCCACACACCCAGATATACCATCCCTCCCCATCAAATCTAGAAATGACCAGAAGTCCATTTTTACTTTTTAAAAAATCCAATAAGGTATGTGCACACATCTTGTTTTAAAGTTAAATCTCACCTGTGGTCAGTTGCATTTATTTCCACATTGGCCTTCTGCATTTCTGGCATTGCGTGCTCTGCTTTATAACCTAGAACTCTCCTCAAATCAAAGAAGATGTCAGAGTATCATGGCACCAGAGAGAGCACTTGGGCACAACCTCTTGTTGACTGTCTCATCCATCTCACAGTTCCACAGTGAATCTAAGATTTCTGCCTTTGCTTTAACTGGTTATTGCTTGTGGCTCCTATGATTTGTATTCATTCCATGTGGTGTTTTATTGCATTGTTTTTATAGCTCTTGTACACCACTCTGAGAGTCTTACACTGAAGGACAGCATAATAGTTTGGGTAAGTAAATACTTAGATAAATAAACCCACAAATAGAGGCAGCAATGTAAATTCCTAAGTTGTGTTTTCTTCCTGCTAGGCACCAAGAACGTATCATGTTGCCAGCCTTAACAAAACAAAACAAAACAAAACAAAAACAAAAACAAAACACACATGCACACACCTTGCCCTCTTCAACACAGAACAGTAAGTCAGTAAGAGTTTTCATGTGTCAGTTTCTTCTTTATCACTTGCACTCTTATGGATTTATGTGCTTCTCAGTGGGATACGATTATCTACAAACAGGATGTTGGACTAGATAGGCTGTTGGTCTGATACAATACTATTCTTTTTCTGCAAGTAAAACTAGTTTTGAATGATTACAGTGAGAATATTTTACTTTTTCCCTCTTGTAAGTGAACCTACATTTCAAATGGGAAACACAGAAGTATGTTCAGGATTGGCCCTAGGATAAATAGCATCCTAGATATGTTGTAGTGTCTTTGATGCTCTTTCCCCTTTTCTTCTTCACTCATCAAGGGATTTCAAGGGGTTGTGGAACTAAGGGAAAATCTTATGTTGAGAGCCCTTCTACAGCCTCCTACAAGGGCTTGTATATGTGTGTACAAAGATGGGGTGACATGTAAGTATTATTGTATGCATGGTCTACATGTGAGAAAATTCACCTACACCTCCTTCTTTCTCTAGCAATAAGAGTGATATGTGCTTCATTTATTTTCTTACATGGGAAAAGGGGTTGTGTTTATCTTAATTATTGCCTCCAAATTCAACTTTCTACAAGTGGCTACAGTTGTTTCTCTCATTCCTGGAATCTAACCAAGGACTGGCAGCCAGTGGCTTGTGGATGGGCATCAGCCTATGGACCACTACATTGAGTTGCATTGAAAGGCTATTTCGCCTGGGCCACATAAACCTATCTGACCTTTCCTATCTCTATTGTTGCCCCAATTTTTTTAAAAAATGTGGGTTTTTGGGTTTTTTTAGATTTTGGTTTTGATTATTATTATTTTTTTACCTTGCTTGACTCCCTTACAGATGAGCTGCAGGACCAAATAATAAGCAGGAACTTCAGGCCTTCCAAGGATATATTTAACTTTGATGGAAGGAGCGACATTGATTTAATCTATCCTTTACCAGACTGAAGCACACCAATTTTTAAAGCAATCACTTAAACCTCAAATTAGCATCTATTCTGTTTCACGTGCAATTATGTAAAATATTTACTTCATCATGGCAAGGGAGAGGTCCCATTATATCACAATTACATGTTGAAATCTAAGCCAAGGTCCTTTTCTAGGTCATGTTCTGGGGGCCCTCACCAGTTCCCTCTCTTTAAAAAAACACCCTACTGTTTTTACCCCCATGGCTCAAAGGTGAGTAACATTACCAGCAAACATGACACTTAACATCATTTTGTTCCCCCAGCACCTACATTCTTCAGAAATTATACCTTTGAGCCAAAAATTGACTCAGGAGATTATTGCAGGGCTAATTAAACTGGTTTACCTGAGCCAGCTTAAAATTTAAAATGGGCGGCATCGTGATTGTATCACAAAGATTTTGCTGCCGAAATCACTGCCCAGGTGCAGCCTGGGTCCACCTCCGCTCATAGGGTTGCTCAACACAGTTTTTTTCGAAGCCAGGAGTTTTCCAGCTTAAGGCCACCAGAGCAGCCCTGGGAGTGGCAATAGACCCAGGCTGCACCCGGGCAGTGATTTTGGCAGATAAATCATAAAATCATAGAGTTGGAAGAGACTACCAGGACCAGCCAGTCCAACCCCCTGCCATGCAGGAACTCAAAATCAAA